TAAATATACTAAAAAAATGTAAGACTGCTCGACATTTTTATTTCAAAGCAGCTAAGCCCTTGACCACTTGACCATACAGACGCAGCATCGTGTTCTTAATGCCCTTGATTGTGTCAATGACGACTCGTCTAGACGAGGTCTGTTGTCGTCTAACCTCGGCCTCGTCTCGTCTTTCCGCCCCAACAGGTCTTCCATTTTCTCGGCTGGTTCCTGCCCGGCGCACAGGCCATGATTGTGCTCACCATGTCGGCCGTGGACGGTGATCCAGTCGGCGGTCTCTGCTACGTCGGTGGTACCAATTTGACCCATCTGAAAGCGTTTGTCCTGGCGCCGCTCAGTCTCTACCTGGTCCTGGGCACGGGATTTCTGGTCTCTGGCTTCGTGGCACTCTTCAAAATCCGCAGCGCCATCAAACTGCAGGGCCCCGAGGCCGTGATGAAGACGGAGAAGCTCGAAAAGTTGATGCTTCGCATCGGCATCTTCGGCCTGCTCTACACTCTGCCCGCGATCACGGTGCTCGGTTGCCTCGGCTACGAACTGGCCAATCGCGTCGCCTGGGAACGAGGCCACAATTGTCCCTGTTCCCGTCCCGTCTGGCTGCCGCTCGACCAGCGTTTCGGCTCGACTCGCGCCGTTGACGCCGCCGTCACCGCCTCCACGTCAGCTCCGGCCTCGGGCTCGGCTTTGGGCTCAGCGGGTCTCGGTGACTCGGTGCCAAGGGACGGCGTCCAGTTGGAGGGGGATGAGCAGCTGCTGTTCACCCGCCTCCTCGAGGCGTTGGGCGAACTGCTGACCTCGGAAAGTCTGCCGGCAGATGAGCAACGCCGAGTCGCCTTCGCCAGCCTCACCGGCCTCCTCAATCCGACCAGTCTGCCCGGCGAGCCCGGCCTCCGGCTCGGGCCGGGCTCGATCTCGTTGCATGTCGTCGAGGCAGACGATCCCGAGGCCGGACGGTTCGACGCAACTCGGCCCGAGTACGCCGTTTTCATGCTCAAATACTTCATGTCGTTGGTGGTTGGTATCACTTCCGGTTTCTGGATATGGTCCTCAAAGACCCTGGCCGTCTGGCAGGCCTGTCTGCGTGGCATCTGCCGGCGCCAATCGCATCCGCCAACTCTACTCGCCATGACGCTGGCCCGGCCCGGCAACCAGATCGAGTCTCCTGTTGGACAGGCCTACCAGACTGGCGGACAGCTGAGGCCGACGCTCGACTCACCCACTGTTGCCATGGCATGGGGCGGACCGCAGAAGCGACGGATGCCCAGTCAGCCTCAGGTAGGCGGTGCGAAATCACAAACTCGGTCAAGTAGCACCGAACTGAGTTGGCTTGTTTTCGCTGACACTAATTTTTGGTAGATATGAAGACCAAGATGGTATGGTCTTCTGTTTGGCCCCAGTCTCCTTTAGCTTTATAGTGTTGGTTCGACCTTGTTTTCGCAACTTGGTCGCAACGTCAGGGAGACATTGTGTAATATACCCGATCCGGGGTCCTCTGCTATGACATTAGTGATTTCCATCATTTGACCATTGGGAATGTACTTAGCTAATGGTCCAATGCTAGAAATCACGAATACTATGGCAGAGGACACACGAAAAGGTCTCTTCATGATGCTTTATCAAGTTGCGAAAACAAGGTCGAACCGACACTTTATGGTTTTGGTTCTACCTCGTTTTCACAACTTGGTCGCAACGTCAGGGAGACATTGTGTAATATACCCGATCCGGGGTCCTCTGCTATGACATTAG